CAAGACAATTAATAATGTACAGTTATTAAAACATACATGTTTGATCACACAGTATGGTCAAAGGCAACTACAGATGGCCTACTATGATATACACTATGTATGGAGCCTTGTAATTATTTTAAGTTAAATATGCCTTGATTTCCTTTAAAAAATTTACAGTAACTTCACAATAATAAAAAAAATCTCATTGCTGCAATAACAAAAGAAAACAATGTTGCAATCATACATTGTTTGTGCCCGTTGCCTCATGTCCTGTCACGGGGCTCCACTGAAAAGAGCCTGGTCCCATCCTCTTGACATCCATCCTTAAGAGGTATTTATGCATTGATAAGATAGCCTCTCAGTTGTCTCTTCTCCAGGCTGAACACGCCCAGCTTCCCCAGTCTTTCCCAAGAAGAGAGATGCTCCAGACTCCTAATCATCTTCGTAGCCCTCCACTATACCCTCTCCAGGAGTTCTTTTTTTTTTCTTGAACTGGAAAGCCCAGAACTGGACACAGCACTCCAGAATGGGTCTAACAAGGGCTGAGTAGAGGGGCAGGATCACCTCCCTTGACCTGTGTCGTGGTTTTGCCCTGGCTCAATTTACTTTTACACTCCCCATACAATTACTATTAGTTGAGAGAAGGTTTATGCAGACAAAAAGAGACTGAATTAAAAAAAGTATGAGTATTTATTATTAACAAGCTAAAACTAAAGAATTATATTTACAAGAATTCTACTTAAATAAAAGGTATTATGTATTTACAGAAGATACTTCTCCCCCCACTTCCCTTTATATCAGTCTAAGGAGGAGAAGCAGTCCTTTTCCATTCTCGAATTCCAGCTCTCTCTCTCTCCAGTAACTCTGCAGCACTTTCGTGTAGCTGGAACCTAACTTTATCTCTCTCTTATTCTGTGTTGGCCTCCAGGGCTGGGCCTACCCCCCTCCTGGGTTAAAACCGAAGGCTGAGGGTTACCCAGGTCCTGAAGGGTCTCCTTCCATAGGCTTGCAAGGGGACACTTGCTTACTATGGATCTTCTTCCACAGGGTTACAGGGGATAATGGTTTAAGAGTTCACCCCTGTTTCCTATGGAAGTCCTCCCATGGAGAACAGTCCTTGACTGACTTCTCGGCATGGGTCTAGTCTGGATCCCTTACTCGGATCCCAATATCCCACCTGAGCCATTTTTTTTATCAGCATGAGTTCTCATTCCCCTCAGGGTCGCCGTCTTAACATCCCTACCCGAGCCATTTTTCTTAGCAGCGTAGGTTCTCTCAGGATCCTGAAATCTCCAGCACCAACTGGCATGGATCCCAACATCCCTACCGAACCGTTTCTCTGTTCCAATGAAGTCGTCATCCCCCTCAGGGTCATAAATCTTCAACAGGACTCTGCCTCATCTGAGCAGCTTTACTCCAGCATAGGCTTTCTCTCTGTTAAGTCACAAATCTCTGAATTGCATCCACAAGCTCCTCTGTGAGCCGCATGGGGGTTTCACCCCAACAAATTTTCACAAGTGGCAGGGTTTTATTTTTCAGTCTTTACCCTGCTGAAGGGAGAGGGGAGAGCGAAAGGGAGAAAAGCAGCTCTCCTCGAGTTTTCTTCTCTCTCACTATTTGCAGCTTCAGCTGTATGACAGCAAGTCCTGTTATCTCATGGCTGGGATTCTTCTGCAGCGGTTTCTCATCTAAGCAGTTCGTCTTTTTAAACTTTTTTCTTCACTCTCACAAAGAGAAGGGAGGCTTCAGTGCTGCACCTGCCCCGGCCCAAGCCAGGAGGAGGGGCCTTGGCCCTCCTCGGGCCAGCTACCCTTCTACATGGCTGCTGCCCCTAATTTCAACTGCGACCAACTTTCTCTTCCGTTTTCTTAAAGATGTAATTAGCAAAGGCATCACTGAACTTTTTGATTGGTTTTTTGTCCGGGAATCAGCTGGACAAAACCATCTTCAGCCCCAGGGATGGGCTGGTGGGCAAAACCACGACAACCTGCTGGACACACTGTTCCTAATGCACCCCAGGATACCATTGGCCTGTTTGGCCACCAGGACACACTGCTGGCTTGTGGACAGTTTGTGGTCCACCAGGACCCCTAGGTGGACAACAAACTGCTGTTTTCTAGCTGGTTGGTTCCCAGCCTGTGCTGGTGCAGGGGTTTATTCTTACCCAGGTGCAGGACCCTGCACTGGCCTTTGCTGAATTTCAAGGTGTTCCCTTCTGACCGTCCCTCCAACCTGTCAAGACACTTCTGAGTGACCACAGAACACTCTGGGGTATTGGCTGTCCCTCCCAGTGAACTTGCTGAGGAGGCACTCAATCCCTTTATCCGAGTCACTGATAAACAAATGAAACAATACTGGACACTAGGAAGTATCTGTGTAGGGAATATGTCTGTGTGCAAACAGTCCAAGGGGAATTTTATCCCTAAGTGCCTCTTTTTTAATAGAACCTCCATTTTTGATCCCACATAACTTCCTCCTCCTTTGGCCTCTGCTTTTGGGCATTTTACGTGGAAGTACAGATTATCCAAGAATATGGACTACTTGATGATTTCTTTTCCTAAGGAACAGAATTTTCAAAATACCAGTTATCAGAAGCACGGTATGTGGAAGAAAATATGGGTAATTCACTCAATCCCTCTATCACTGTGCTTGAAGCCTAGGAATCCAATACTCAGCTCTCTTGGTCAGGTTGTAATTTCAGATATTACTGGGCAGCTATCTGAATCTCTTTGCATGTTTACGTGGCCTATCCCCACATGCTGACAGGTTCACACCTGTAAATCTGATTAGCAGACAATGTTTGACTTGATTAGTCAAGTGCAAAGCTCAATGCAGTCAGACATTTGGAATTCAAGATTTCCTGGAGCTGTGTTAATAGATTTGAGACCTGAGCAGTGTGCAAATGAAGCAATAGGAGCCACACATTCTTGCAGTGTTTCATTTCTTCATGCTCAGGGGGTACTGAATCAGGAACTGGTTTGAAGTGACATGTCCCTCCCTTGCTAAATGCCTTAGGACAAACCGTGGTTGCCATCAGGGCTTTTCTGGAGCTCCTTCAAATGGAAAGTAGCAAGTTTGTGTAATATTAATCAGCAAATTCCGGTCTCCTACTGACTCCTGTCTGTGCATTTGATGACCTCTAAAGGTCTACAGGCTGCTTTCAGATTATTCCTTCACATGAGAAGGAAGGACTATATTTTCCCTTCAGCCTTTCAGAAGGCTTACCTATTTGCAGTCTCTGAAATCAACCTCTTGTTTTCTTACTGCTCTTCCATTCCTGTGAATCCCATTTCTCCTCAAATTAATGTCAATGTAAAACCCTCTTTCTCTTCTAACACTGTCTCAGTGGAGCATTTGTGATACCAGGCATTATGGATACTCTGTGAAATCAGTTTCAGAGCAATGATTAGCTATATATTCTTAGAAATGCATTTATGTTTCCAAATTTCTCCTTGCATATTATTAAGGTGTGTGAACCAAAATAATGAGTTATGCCACCATAAGGAGACCAGAGAAGAAGCACACATCAGTATCGGCCCAGATGAGTCCTAATTAGTGTGAGGAAAAAGTCATGGAAGTGTTGTTATATCCTATTTATGCCTACCCTACTATGGGCATGGTATTTTACTATCCAGTAACAAGACATGGATCCTTGCCCCTTGATCCTGTGGGTCCTGGAATGCAAGAGGAGTTCACGCTGCACTGAAGAAACTTCAGTATTGCAAACCCCTAATACTGACACAGTTTGTATCAGCAAAGTAAGATTTATTTTCATGCAGTGCACACTATAACACATAGCGATAAGTAGTCTTTGGAATAAGCTCTACTCTCTGGTACCACACCTGAATATCTGTATTCACTCTCAGAATATTGTCCTAAATCAGGTTGAAACACAGTACAAGAATAACAGGACATTATAACAGGGCATAATAATGGTGGAGGGGAAAAAAAAAAATCAATCAATCTAAAGAAAGGTTGAAAACTGCTTTGAGGTGAGTAGAGTTATTCCCACAGAAAGACTGTTTGCATTGATTTAAATTCTTTGTTTTCAAGACTTATAATGAAGTGTACTATTACTGTTCATTCTGAAGCCTTGTCAGAACAAAGTCATGAATAAGCAAGAATAGAAATGAAAAATTTTACTGTTTCCATGCCATCTGTGAAGGGCAGGAATCACAGGCACTAAAACATGAGCTGGATAAACAGAGTGGGCAGGAGACCGAGGTAGAAGAGAGTTCAGAGAGCAGCAACTGAGGTGAGAATGGGGGTCTTGCAGGAAAATGATAGACACAGTGCTTTAACAATCACTGACCTTGCACTAAACAGCGCAGGAAAAAGTCAGTGCTCCAGCGTTTTAATATGGGCAAAGACAAGTGGACCAACATTAAACAGATTTCTCTCTAATGCACACTGTTTTCCTGTCCCTTTCTCCCTTGCCATATTAGCTGTGTCCTTTCTCCATTATCGTAAGTTTACTCTCTCCTTCCCCCAGATAGAGGTTGTTTCTCCCCAACCCCCAAAACTCAGAGGCCTCTGAAACCTGCAAGGGTAACATTTATATCCAAACCAACATTTTCTTTAGTATGAAAAGACTGCTTATCAATGAAAATCCATAATTTTTGAGAAGACATTAAAAAAAAATCCAAACCCTAAAATTACAACTCTATATTTATACTGAGAGAGTTCATGCAATAGCTGACTTTCATTCTGTGCTTATGTAAATGCTCAAATGACTATCAAAAGACTTTTTCCTGTACCATTTGCTTTATCGCAAAGCAGCCATTGGGAAACTCAGTGAAGATTTCAGTGAATTTGCATTTAAACCAATGTTAGTTACACTATCATTTTCCAAGCACAAGGCAGTTTCAGAATTTGTTTATTTTCAGAGCAAAGTACTCCTTGCTCATGGACTCTTTCAAAACGAAGCCCATATTTTCACAAGAAGGGAGTCTCGGGGATTGACTGCCCTTCTGTCATTCACTTTCACATGTTCTGTCTCCTTTCTCACATCTTGCAAGACACGTGTGAAGGCACTGTGGTTTGTAAGGGTGATGCATCTGGTGCCTGCTGTCACAGAAGAGGAAAACAAGTGGTGTACCACTGCTGAAGAGCTTGAGCTTGCGCACTGCCACAATCTCTCTCCTCGTCTCTTACCCCACGTATTGGGTAAGTCTGCTTGGTGGATCAAAGGAGGAAGCGTGAGTGCCGTATGGTGCTGAGGTCATGTTTTTTAGGAATTGGAACATTCTGTCTTCTCAGATCAAAATACTGGCACACACTCACTGCTCCTTCAGCTTCCCACCTTGACTGACCCTGTGCCCCTTTCATTACTCATCTCTCCTCTCCTTCTACAGGTGATGGGGGAAATTATCTCACCCAGGCCTCCTCCCTCTCTGTTACACGGACCCACGTCTCCTTCAGAAGAATCCTACCTACGTTCCCGATGACAGGAGATACAGTGTCCACATGCACACGTAGAGTCTGTGGGAAGGCATGAGGCAACCTACTGTTATGCTCAGCTCTCAGCAGACTTCAATCCCTGTGGCAACCACTAGCAAATGCTTACAGGAATCGTCAGGACAGTGTTTAACACAGGGTTGCCTTCACACTGAATGCACTCACTGGAAATAAAGAGGAGGGAGCAAATCACAACTGCTTTGCCAAAGGAATGCGGGGCCTCCAATTCTGAGAATCTCTGCCTCAGGAATCAGGCAGTGTGAATGGTATTTAAATGTTACTGGGGAAGGGAGGGGAAGGCAGGTGCCAGTGAATCTCTCTCTCATGACACGCCTGGTCGCCAAGGCCAGCAGTGTATGGCAACTGCCTGATCTGGAAGGGTCACTGCTGTTCTGCTGCTGCTGCAGCAGTTTGTGTGAGAGCTTGGGTCATCTGATTCAGGCAAAATCAGCCAAGCTAGTGTAACCCATTGAAACATGCAGTGTGAGTTTCCCTGGTTCTTTTTATTTGAAGAGCTCACACAAAAATGTCTGCCCAGCAGAGCCGCAGGAAAGGGGCAGCAACAGGCAAGTGGGAGGTAGTGAAGGCTTAAATCAGAGCTGTATGAAACATGAACATCTGTGGTTCGGTCATTTGTCAGTACAGTTGGTGTTTGTCAACGTGGTCAATGAGGTCATTTGTCAAAACAAAACTCCGCTGAGTTCCCAGATGCCTCGTTCTTCCACGTTAACTTTCCTAACGTAAGTGCAGGAATAAAAAGAATGTTCTTGTCATTACAAGAATAAATTCATTAAAGGTTAGAGCGAAATCCAAAACAATTACAAGGAAGCATTTACCTCTCCACAGACAACATCTCTCTGTTATTTTTTCCAGCAATTTGGAAAACTAGTTAAAAAAATGGATTATTGTACTCTGTTTTAAACTAATCAGTAATGCTAACATTTGCTATTTCCTATAAACACTATTTTTAAAAGCCTTTCTAAATTGATGTTTTTAAATAAAAATAATTTTCTTACTCCCTTCAGTCATCACAGGTCATTGGGCATGGGTAGCTGAGGAGGTTTAATAGGTCAGAGTCTATTTTCCCACTAGTTTGATCCAATTAGGTTAAGACAGCAGTGACTAAAAAGTGTTAGCATTACAGAGTGACTTGACTCCTTTTCTCCAGGAGAAATGTCTCTGATCCCATGATATTGATGTACGAATGCAGGTTCATTGACCAGTAGCGACATCCATTAACTTAAATGAGTTGAAATGATTGAAACCTAGTCCCTGAACAACAGGAGTTTGCATCTTATAACCTCTTTTCTCCACTATGCCCCAGTCCCATGTCGTCATGCTGCCAACAGTTTCAGAAAATTTAGGAAAACTAAAGATGCAAGAATTCACTTTTAATCCATAGACTGACTGTTCACCACTGTGACTGACATATGCTTCTTGGTAAACTCTAAAACACTTATGATGCAACTCTGTTCTGTGGATAAACAGTGGGACAAGATCCCCAGGAAGGGAAGATTTTAATAAAGCTTTTCAAATACATAATGTTGTAAAGCCAGTGACCTTCCAAAGTGTCAAGCATCTTTAATACGTCTCCGGGTGAGTGTCTGAAGCAGAAGCCCACTGACCTAACAGTCAGGTCTGAATACCCTGCCTCAGGGTGTTTTTCACAAACAACACATACACATACACTCTGCTCATAGCATCTGTCTCTTCCACTTGCCTGAGAATGAAAAAAACCAAATAAGGGAAAAAGATCCTTAGTCAAGCTATGAAATATGAATAATTCTTCTGTGAATTGAACTTTGAAGCTTAAATAACAGAGTGGTTAAAGTCTGGGAAAATGAAAGATGTGCAGTTTTAATTCAGTGCTACCCCAAAAACTCAGTTAAAACATTTAAACATCTTTCTTTACTTCAACTAGAATCTTCAATGGACCAAAAGTGCCTCTGGGGAATCAGCAAAGCGCTCTGCAAGATCTGAAGAAGATTCGGGGGGAGGAGACCATGGGGGGAATTATCTGCACTTCAAAGAGTTTCCTTCAATATCACTATTTCAGATGAAGATTTACAAAATGTTTATTATTTATACATTTAGTTATTTAAACAAATGTAATGTATTACTCAGATGAGAACAAAAAGAGTTTTTAAACTTAATTTTTATGCTGTAAAAAGAATAAAGCTTATTGGACTGAAGTTCCCTTTGAGGCTCCTTTCTCTTTTTAAAGAGACTTTTTGCAAACCAAAGACAAAAATAATGTCAACTTCTCACCTCTATTTTGAGGTTCAAAGGATTTCCCCCCCTTCATTTTAGTATTATTTTCTATGGTAAGTATCAAATGAAGGCTCTGTTTGCTTGAATTTCAATGAAAAATAAGACAGAAGTAAAAAGCAGCAGCAAGTATTCCACACTGAGAGTGCTGCTTTCTACGCTTTTGATACAACTACTCTAAATATGTCTGCAAAAAGAATAGAAACAGCAATCCAAAAAAAGGTAAAAAACCTATAATGAAATAACTTTGCTGTTTCATTATGTTGTACCATTTAAAATGAACTTCAGAAAATAGGAAACTACTTTCTAGAGCCAGGGTATGTAGAGACATTCAGTGACTGTTACCTGTGGGCAGAAGGATGGCACGAAAATGCTCGGCAATTTTTTTTAAAGTTTCTGTGTGATACAAAAATTCAAGAAATCCTTTAGAGCATATGATGAACTTCAAAGACATGCTTACATTCCACTTAACGTTATATGACTTTAGAATGTGCTTGACCTTGTCCTGAGGTGGATTTGAAGTCTGCAACAACATATCACAATGCAACTTTTTTGATCTTCATCATTTTCAGGCCTCATTCTGTACCTCCAAATCATTTCTCTTTCTTTAGCATCACAGATTAATTAAGCTAACCTTCCAAAAAACCTGATTTGCCAGGTGAAACAGATTTTAAAAAAAAGTGTTTGTAAGCATCTCTCCCTTGTCCCCTGGGCCTTTGTGAGACAGGTCCAGGAAAAGCACGTACACCATTGCTCTCACTCCATCAGTTCTCCATGCTATCTTGTGCAGCCAGCGGTTCTGCTTGACACCCTTGGTCCTCTGGGAGCATTTCTTTCTGTTAATGGACACCTTCCTGCACCCAGTCTCACTGCTGTGCTGGGCCCTCTCTGCTGGCCATGAGAGCATCCCCCCAGCTGATCCCACTCAGCACTCCAGGGCTTTCCTGGTTTGCCCCAACGTGCTTCAGCGGCTGCAGGTGCTCTGGCTGTGGGCTCGGGGTACAGCCTTGGGGCAGCACAGGAGCAAAACAGCTTCCAGGCCAGCAAGGGAGCTGGGTGAACAGAAGTTTCTATGCAACCTTCGACTGTGAAGGTGAGTTCCTACAGTCTACCTAAAAGCCAGCAGCAAAACAGAGGCATTGTAATGGCACGTTGCATATTTTAGCATAACTTCAGTGGAAGCAGAGGCTGTTGGTTGATTTTAAGGCCATACGAGTGTTGTCAGCGAGACTAAAATACATGGCAGGCCAGAAGTGAGTTAATGTGCCAGCAAGACAAAGAGCATTTGCCAGCAGGGAAATGTAAAGCTCTGAATTCCCTCAGGCTGTAAAGTAGGTGAAGCAAAGGTATGGCTGGTTACCTACTGTTATGCTGGTATGACTTACACAGTTCACACAGCTCATGAGAAACTCCTAAAAAAATGGGGATGCCTTGGCAGTAATGGCCTTAGTTCTACTGAGAGTTTTGTAAGGATTGTTTGCCTTTTCTTTGCTTGAAGTAACATTTGTCATTGTTTAGGCCGCACCAATGGCAGGGGTTTTTAGCAAGCCTCTCCAGTATGCTGTCCTTTATCTCCTTCTGTTATTCCTATCCCTGCTGGCAGCTAGTCAACACAATTCTTTTTTGAAGTAAAGTTTGTGTTTTCTCAGTTGGGGGCTGAACTTTCACTGCAATTGAGATATTTTGCAAAAAAGTTACTGCTTACAAATATATTTTTATTAGGGGAAACAGAATAAAACACTTGAATTTACTGTTTTGTTTTGATGATGTCTAATACCTTTGAAATATTTAGTTTTGACAGAATGTTGTCTGTTATTATTCTGATTAACTTCCCATCATTTTGTATTGTATTAAATATCAAAGCAATGTACTTTCACTTATCAATTTAGCAAAATTACAAATCACCTTGCAATCTGTGTCTTAATGAAACTACCTCATGTACCTTTACACAAACCTTGCTTCAAAATTTGAAAATACTCTCTGGAATCTAGAACATAAAGTTAAAATCATAGACATTTCCTTTCAAGTTATGAAAATCCGTCATTGAAACTTCTTTGCTGAAAACTCAGCAGAGTTATTTCTGCAAATATCAAAATACTGCAAAATTTTGTTTGTTACTATATAGTTAATGAGGGAATGGTTTATTATTAATTTGATTATTTTCAAAACAGAAAAAAAATTGCAAAAAGATTCTTAAAAAAATGTGAGGATATAATACCATGCATTTTAAACTTTCTCTTCTCTACAGCTGATAATGCTGATACCAACACTAGTAAACACCACTGCCTACAAACTAATTAGAAAATGAAAATTTATGCTTAGATGATTGTTCTGCTTGCATTTTTCATAACTGACTATAGCAAGATCATTGTTTGATCTTGAGTACTGAATAATAAATGTTATCAGTTACTTTATCAACCAGAGAGTTTTTGAAGAGATATTTTTTCAACTTCTTTTTCCATTAAAATGAAGAGGTGTGTCTTTAATATATCACCGTGCCACTGAAAGGGTCTTAAAATACTACATATTACTAGATCCTTATAAACATGAGGAGAAGATTGCATTTTTAATAGTTTAAGGATGATAAAGTGGTTCTTTCAGTGAATGACTACTACTCATATTTCTTTCAATATGAACTAAAAGATTTTTTTTTTAAATTAGGACAAGCTGATCTAGTATGTGCTTAAGTTTGATATAGTATGTTAATTGCTGGATTACCAAAAACTGATGACAAAAGCTTTGGTCATAAATAGAGCTGTCATACAAACACATCCTAGTGAAAGGAAAAAAAAATAGTTCACATATATATATGTGTGTGTGTCTGTGCACTTCTATACCCACTTCCCCTGTCCGCAAGAAAGATGGAGAGAGGCATTTACAGGGGAATGGAATGACAAGACAAGGGGGAATAGCTTTAAACTGCAAGAGGGCAGGTCTAGATTAGATATTAAGAAGAAATTCTTTACCATGAGGGTGATGAGGCACTGGAACAGGTTGTCCAGAGAAGTTGTGGCTGCCCAATCTCAAGGCCAGGTTGGAGTGGAAGGTGTCCCTGTCCATGGCAAGAAGGGTTGGAACCAGATGACCTTTAAGGTCTCTTCCAACCCAGCCATTCTATGACTCTGTGATTCTATGATTTTGAGCGCATCAAACAAAAATTACCTTGATTTTGTTCTCAGTGTTGAGCAGAAGAAAGTTAGATTGATTTTTTGGGAACTCGCTGATGGTATTCAACCGATGATGCTGATTACAGAAGGTGTACAAGGGCTGCTCCATACTTGTGGGTTAGGGCACTTGTGGTGGCACGTTGTGGGGGTGTGGGTGCAGGAGGGGCCCTGCAGCAGCTGGCTGCTCCCCTTGGGGTGTACAGGGGAGCCAAAGAGGAGGAGGTGTGCTCCTGCCTCACCCACAGCAGTGCTTCCACTGTGTCAACAGACTGGGACGGATTGCAGGAACCTGCTAAATATTGATTCTGCTAAGGCTTGGAGTTGAAGTTAATTTAAATAGTACGTGCAAAGGGTTTTATGAATTGATTTCAAATGACAAAGAAGTATTGAAAAAGCATTAAACCTAAGTGCTATTTTAAACAATAAATTTAATCTTATGGTAATTGAATTATGTATTTGCAGATGAAAGAGTAGGCTGGGGGCAAATACACCCTGTGCTGCTGAACACAGGCGCTCCCTTGAAAGTGTTTTAAAGCAAATGTAAAGTAAAGAAAGTAAAATGCTGTCCTGGGTGCAGAGGGGCTGCGTGTGGGATGGTGGCTTGGTTACCCCAGCCTCTCCCACACAAACCTACAAGGCTGCTGCTGAGGGGGTGAGAGTGATCTGGAAGGTGCCAGGAGGGCAGCCCCTCATGGGAGCTGCAGCATTTTGGGGGAGGCCAAGCTGCCTGGGATAGCTCCTGCCGAGCTGGCTGTGTGAGTAGGAGAGAAACTAGACAGACACAAGAGGCAGGTGTTGCATGGCAGGAGAGGTGGAGAGTGACCAGAAGGTCAAGAGAGATGATTATTCCTTTCTACTCCACTGTGGTGATTCTGTGCCTGGAGTGCTTCATCCAGCTCTGGCATTCCCAGCACAGAAAAGGCAAGGACCTGTTGGAGTGAGCCCAGAGCATGGGCACAAATATGATTGGGGGTTGGAGTGCCTCTCCTAAGAGGAAAGGTTTAGAGAGTCGGTGCTGTTCAGCCTGGAGAAGAGAAGGCTCTGGGGAGACCTTAGAGAAGCCTTCCCATTACTAAAGGGTACTGGAAACTGGTAGAAGAGAGCTGGAGAGGGACTTTTTACAAGGGTGTCTGTAGGGTAGGGAGGAATGGGTTTAAACGGAGAGAGAGCGAGCGAGCAGATTTAGTTTAGATATTAGGAAGAAATTCTTCACTGGGAAGGTGGTGAGGCACTGGAATAAGTTGCCCAGAGAAGCTGTGGGTGCCCCATTCCTGGAAGTGTTCAAGGACAGGTTGGATGGGGCCCTGAGCAACCTGGTCTAGCGGAAGGTGCCCCTGCCCATGGTAGGGGGGTTGGAACGAGATGACCTTCAAGGTCCCTTCCAACCCAAACCATTCTATGAGAGCAGGGCCAAAATGAGCTCTTGGTACAGTCCCATAGAGAATGAGGTTCAGTGTATCAGACTGGGAGGAGTTATGGGTGCTTCTCTCCATGTATCCTTGTCATTTCCCACCAAACTGACTACTAAATAATAAAAAATTGAAAGCTGGGAACAACCCTCCCTCCAAACCCCACCACCACTTTCTGTTCCAAGGTAAATGAGTGCTACTGATGGACAGGAAATGTCAAATTCATGCAAATTCGGGGATTCTTGGCTTCCTTCCATGACTGTTCAGTGATGGCACTGCTGCCCAAAACT